AATAGTTCCAAGTTGTGGATGTATTCGTAACTTTGGACATGGCGGTGACGGCTGTTGGTAAGAAGGGGCAAGAGAAAACCCACCACTAGGCACGAATGTACGCTGGGGGTGATACACCAGAACAGACGTTGTGGGAATCATGGGACGAGGAACGGACGTGGTGGTGGGAAAGCTGCCAGCGATCAAAGCTCGGACATCGAGACTCTGGCGTCGATGATTGTCTCAGGCGCCAGTCTGGCGCTCTTGCTACTCCGCCTATGGTATGACATCATAGCAATCTCGATTGACCCGTCACGCAGATGTCGACTACACTACCATTGGCTCACGACGTAATGGAATTATCACGCACGTGAACAATAAAAGTGTCTCGTTAGATTAGGCTTCAAAGATAATGGGGGCACGCACGCAATCGCGGCAGGAGAATACAAGCAGCGCAGGAAGCTCGTTGACAGGCGCGCGAGTGACCTCGAACGGTCTCCAGTGCTTTGGGATAATGTGATTGAAGCACTGTTACTGAAAACACAGTTCTGCGACCCTTATGAAAGAGCGTGGATAATAAACGTGCGGCAGGTCGAAACAGTTGAACAGAGCCCTTACTGACTTGGACTGTCCGACGGAATGGCGCGGTGTGCTGTCCTCTGCATTGACGAGAGATCTAATGTCATCCGTTTCGGCGTAGTTGGCTTCCCTGCCGAAGCGATACCAGGGCCACGAAGAGGTGTGCGGCGCCAGGATCGACCCTCGCCTCGAGCGCAGTGGAGGCGGACGTCTCCTCGGGAGGCTTCTTGAATCAGGGAGGCGACGTGCGTCGAGCCCCCGGTAAAACCGGCCGTGAATTAAAGGGTGCGCGGGGTGGCTGTTGGTGATGCATGCACAACGACGGCGGATTCATGCACCACCGGGATGGTGGGGTGGTAATCTATAAGCTCAGCGAGACCAGCAGACACGCGATGCGTCGCATCATCACTCGACGGGGGAGGCTGCCCGCTTAGGAGTCGGCCGCGACAAACATGTGAATCGAAGAAGAGCTGAGTACGCACTGTCACAACATCCGCAAATTCTCGACGGTGCTGGTGAGGGGCGTTATATCGGATGGAGGCTGCCGCTTTCAGACTCCGTCGAGTTTCTCGGGGCTGGCACGGAGACCCCGATCCAGTACGCCGAACTGCATCGAGTGGGATTGATACCAGTGGAAAGCTGCCATTGGTTTGCTTGATAAAGAATCCTGTATTGGCACCTGGCTGGCTATGAGCGCACGAGGTCCGCAGATTATGACAAGACGTCGGTCCGGATCCAATACATAGTACAATAAATTACAAAACAATGGTCTAATACGCAGAGGCAGTCCGAATCATCTCAAGCAAAGACAGACTGCTCGGCCCAGCATCATCTGCGCGCAGTGGGGTTGGTTCTCGGTGCAAGAAACGCTGTTAGAAACGGGGATTAGATTGAACATCACAAACACAGACAGAACGAACGTACCCGGGGTGCCCATAATGAACTCAAGGCGGGGACATCTTCCCCAGACTCGAAGCCAGAGTCGTTCTCGACGTCTTCTTTGTATAAGACGGATAAGAGCCGGGGAGCCTGGAAGAGTTCAAAACGGTGCAGCGTGGTGCGCGGTGGGAGAAACTCACAAAATACGAGTGGAATCTCCCTTTTTCCGCTTCGCTCTGAAGCCACTGCACCTGCCCTCTGACATTCAGAGGAGGCTTCTCCTTGGTACAATCGCGCGCCTTGTCCACCATAAAGTTTGCACCTGCGATGGGAGGTATACTGTCAGAAATAGAGGAAGTTGGCAAAGGAAGAGGACGACACTGACAGCCAATCTTGCGAAGTAAGCGAAACTGTACGTACTTGACGTCCTTAAATTCTTCGAGTCCCCGAAGAGCTTGAGGGTACCAATAGTCGGCGTACGCTTGGACTTGCACATTGAGAGAGACGTCGGGTGCAGGCATACCATCCCAGCCGAATGCGAGGCGACACCCTAAGACCCAGCCGTCTGGACAGTCGAATTGTTCGTCGAGGAGCCCAAAAGGAACAAATCCTGGCCGGTCGAGGAACTTGCGGTTCCAGAAGACTTCCCTGGCACAGGTGAGGGCGCCGCGCGATGCAATGACTCGTTCGTCGATCCCATAAGATTTCATAAGTAGATGTTTGATGGCGTCGACAGAGAACAGGTAGCCACCGACATAGGCTGAGGTCGATGCCGACACCATGGTGGGAGGATGGCGGGGGTGTAGCGGAATGGTGTGTGGGGGGAGGGGAGGAAACGACGAGGGGTCTATCAGTATGGGATGTGGGGAGAAAGAGGCCGGCTTCGACGCTTTCGCGGTCATTGTTCGAATTCGCTTGCAGACATCACGTGCCCGATCACGGACCAGATCCAGATGCTTCGCGTGTTTCAATTTAAGCGCTCCTCTGCGACTCCTTCAAGTCCCAACCACTCTCTCGCCAGACGTGACCACTTCCTAAAGAGGACCACAATAGGATTGCATGACTGTTCGAAATTCATCTCCCGCTATGTATGGTACCCCTTCGACAACCAAGCTCACCAGCCCCCACCACCACTCCCCCACTACACTTAGAAATCCTCCCGCCTCCAAGGAGGTTGGCGTCGCCGGCGTCGACCATGCGTACCCGGGGAAAACATGATACCCCCAGGTTGGCGCGATATACGTACGTTTTCACCCTTCTATACATTCTTCTCCATCTTCATGCCACTCGCAGCCTGAGATCGCGTGCCTCTCAGCCCACGTCGCTCCCTGTGGCAGCCTCAGCCCCAGACCCGCTGCCTATCGTCCCTGGAAACGCATCCGTATCAATTCCACAGGATGCAGGTCCTCAGACAGCTACCACTCTTCTCGAAGATGACTGTTTCAGGCTGTCAGGGTATGTTTTCAGGCTTCGAAAGGCGATGGACACCCTCAAGAGCCGAACACCCGTAGGTCCCAATTGTCAGATCAGACTAGAACATAACGCTCACAACGCCTCGCATCGGCTACTTGTTTTTACTCCCCTTTAGCTTCAAGAGGGCTCAATCGCTAGCGACATCAACGAAAACTTGATTGAACTGTGCCAATTCCTCGTACGTGCCATCATTGATAGCTCCCGTCGAATCTAACTTGATACAACGCAGGAGCTAAAGGGAGTGATTAAGATCACGTCTCTCCCCGAAAAAACTGATCACCGGTGCGTGTGGATTGTAGCAAGCTTCAAACGTCTCCTGATTGGGTTGGTTTCTTAGGTTGCCCACTTCTCACGCGCGTCAGTCAGCGTCTGTAGCGCGGCAGCGCGGCCAGTCAGCACCGGACTCTGTTGAGACCAAGGATGTGGCCCCGACAAAAAGATATACTACACAAGGAACTCAGACAACCGGAATTTCTTCTGAGGAATTTCTCAGTGCCAAAGTCTTCATCCTCCTCGGGGATTCACGCAAGTTGCTCACGAAGTGGGGAGGCAGTCTGGTATGTCCCACATCTATATCTTTACGCAGACGCTTACAACGTCGTCTCTACGTCCATAGAAAGCCAGGTTGGTGGTCCGTTTACTTTTTTGAGATTCGTTGTCAAACATATGGTGGTCTGCCTTGTTTAGACGAACGAGACAGGGGGGTATACCTGCTATCCGACCCCAGATATTCAACGTTATCAGTCGGATTGATAGGTTGAATACAATATGGGTGCGCTCTCGTTTCCATCACATCCACCGATACTAATCTTTCTACAGTCAGGCAGGGATATAGAGAGGGTCGATGCCATTGCCGTCGGTCCCAGCACTCTTGCGATCGAACCCGTCAAAGCCAAGCCTGTGAACGACGCTCCATCAAAGTCTACGCGCGGAGCCATCGTTGTCAGCGACGAGATCAGAGTGCGGATCAACATATGTCTTGAGAAATATCAAGCACTCGTTGTACGTCCATCCGCTTGCATCGCCGCAGCGTATACTTACCTGTTTTCTGGTCGTAGAGGAGGACAAGGTATGTCAGAACGTAATATACGTGTTCGATTTACGAAAGCCCACCCCTTCATGTATAGAACTGATCTTACGGAAGTCCATGACGTGCTCAACAGCATTTCCATGTGCCCACCGGCTCCACCGTACGATCCCAGCCGACCCCCTGTGCGCTCTCCTTTGCTATACTGTATTCCAAGCTAATCCACATCGATTGATGGACATAGCGCACTCTTGCAGAGTTCAAAGCTCGAATTTGCCAATGGACATGGGACCGCATCTCGAACATCACTCTTCGAGAGACTCACTATGAGTGCACCGTCGATGCGCTCGCATGCTCGTTGTTCTCAGGGTCCCTCCCTCCTGGTGCGTCCATAAGGATTGGTCCGCAGCAGAAGGCTCGCTTCCTGGCTCCCCCAGGAACGGAGCGCATCTCTACGGACTCGCTGCGCCGCGAAGTCAGTGAGAACTTCGCTATGCCTGATTTCGTGATTTGCTCTGTAGACCCTACCGGAATGCCCGAGACGGTGCTCATCACTGTCGAGAGTAAGCTGAATGGGAACCCACTGGAACAGGTAGAACATTACGGAGACATCTTCGAGGACCAAGGCGGCATGATCGGCATCGGCCTGCGACTCGGGCCCGGACTCGATGACAAGGGAGTGATGGCCATGGTTTGCCGTCGTCAACGCACTGAGGACAACTACGGTGACTTCGCTTTCGTCTACCCTGATGAATCCTATGAAGCCGTAGAGAATGGGCACTGGCACCCCCTCCTTAGCGACTTCATCCTGGAGATCATCTTCAACGTTTGTGTCACGGCTTGGAAGACCGCTACGTACGTTAAAATGTGATGAAATAGTGGATCTCGGTGAGTCTCCCCTGCCTTCGAATTCGTTCTTGAGGTCTCGACCTACCCGTTCGCTAACTTTCTTTCTAGGCAAAATGGCACGTTTTGCTGCTGAAGATGAACGTGCGCCGTGCGACCGTAGTCCAGCTTTCGTCCGCGCCGTGTTTCGGTCCAAGCTCATATGTATTGTCGTCTCTCCTCATGTATCATCATTGTTTTTTCAATGCCCAAGTATGTTTGTGTTATTCAGTGCTTGACAATCGTGATTGCAACCCTTGTTATCGTCTAAGATTATGGATATATCGCATTGCCATGTAGACGCGCGGTGCTTTGCGTTCACACATAAGCGTGCCAGGGAGGGATTGTGACAAGGAGACATCGGACGAATACTTCTGCGATACTTCTTCGAAAGAGCGCGGACGCGAGGTATCAGTTGCGCAGAAAAGACTTCACTTCTCACTGCGAACTAAAATGACTGAGGCAGGTCGTCGTGATAGCATACGTTGACACATGCACATTGCAGCGGCAGCGCACCTATGTATACTTCAGCTCTCAAAGGCAGATTAGGGCACGAAGTATATCGGACAATACAGTATGAGGAGCATATCTACTGACTAGGCATTCTAAGGCGCCGCAAAATAATGTGGACCTAGGTAGATCTGTGAAGCGCTCTAGATGACCGTTCTTGACTCGAAAGGTACGACGTCAGCACTTCGCGAGAAACACAAAATTATAGTGCCACAAGTTGCCCGTTCCCGAACGGCGCAAGGAGACAGATCCATGGCACTGAACCCGTTGCGTTTGCAGCAGCCCGGGTTTTAGACACGAAACCGACAGAAGCGCCATCTGCGGCCGTGCGGTAACGGGCCCGATGGCGATAGACGAGGCCTTGAGCTTGGATGAGCTCGCAGCCGAGTTGTGTGCTTGACGCGAAACAGTGTGTACGGACGCGGCGCATGTGCGGGAGTGAAAGCTCTGCCGTTGGGGTTGGCCGATGGTTGTCGCTGGGAGTAGGCCAGCCAGCCTGTAAGTAAAAGGATCGCAGAGGATGTCTGATGACCTTACGTGGTGACCTGCACAGTGGGATTGCATATCCGCAAGATCCTAGATGTGTGCCGTGGCGGGTGGTGCATGCGCCGTGACGGGTAAGTCAATGAACCACGTGGTGATCTACAAGCCCAAAGCGGTCAACAGGCACGCGATGCGTAAATGCATAGCAGCGGGCTAAACTCGGCCTAGATGTGATGTCTGGAAAGGGATTCGCTGTGGTGATTCGGCTCACCGTCTTACACCTACCAGATCAATATGAGCCACTAAGTAGCAACAGAGCCTCTGGAGAACTCACGTAAGACGCGCGTCGAGAACTCTTTGAGGAGAAGACCTGCTTCTAGCTTCGTTTCCTGAGCCTGAAGAAAAACTAAGGAAAGCTTCACGCAGTGTCGAGGCATTCGTAAGGTGCGCAACATGTTCTCCCGGGAGAGCAGACAGCTCTTGAAAGCCACTCGAAAGCGTCGCATACGGGGAAGATTGCAATGCATATTCACGACCACGGCGAATACAGCTACAGACCACGACGGTTTCAAGCAAAAATGACCTACCTGACCATACTGATGCCGCAAAAACATTAAAAGGCACTCACGATCACTCATCACGACGAGAACAATCTTGCTCGAGTAGGGGAGTGGGAAAGGGCGCATCCACGGAAAGTGTAAGCATGGATGGCCGACTCCATTCGATGAACGAGGACCTACAATGGACCAAACGCATTCGCGCACAACCGTATCTCACCGCTGTGCAGGCAACATCTCCTCGTCCTCCTCGTCCTCCGCTCCCTGACCGTCTTCGTCCTCACCGAATGCGCCATCGTCTTGCTCGATGGATCCGTTCGCCTGCCGGGTTTCGTTCCTCCGAGACTGAAATGATGGAAATCTCAGTGGAGAACTGCATGAAGAAGGAATATACATACATGGTAGACCGCAGTCCAGTACCCGCTCCAGTACATCGCCGCCATCGCGCGGGAAAAGGCCTCGTCTTGGCTTACCATGGCAGTCTCTGATCCAGTCCCAAGGGGGTTTCCGTCCATGCCCGCGGCCGATGCCATCGCCGTGGCCAAGGAGGGGTCGTGCGTTGGCACGAATGTATCGAAGTTGAGCGGTGCAGAGTCTTCTCCTTCACCGCCGTTTTGGGGGGTGGAAGTGGAGACTCCGGCCGAACTTGTTTTGGACGTTGGGGGAAGGTCTGGGGGAATGTTGTACCACCTGCGCGAAGACGAAGAGAGGTGAGAGGGCGTACGGGAACGACGTTTCTGCGAGGCAGGGGCATACAGCGGGGACTTCTTCACCGGCTCGTTCTTCCACTTCTTCCCTGGACCGTGGTACGCCTGCGGCCGTCCATATCAACAAACTGCTTTGCATGTGAGAAGGGGAAAAACGCACCTCGTACTCGGCCGCAGCGCTGTTCCACGCGTCGATGAGCGCAGAGTCGTCCCAAATCTCCCCGTGCGTAAGCTCACGGCTTTCGTCCTCTTCGTCCTCTTCTTCCTTCTGCATTGTGGTGGTAATCAAGGGGGCATCCTCATACGGCATCTGTGGCCCTTGAATACCCGGGTCGTCCCAATGCTGCACGGCCTGATGTGGAGGACCTTGCCTCCCGCCATACTGGCCCTGGACTTGGCGATGGTTCGGTGCGGTCTTTCTTTTCTTCGCGGGGGGCTGCGTTGGCGGTACGTTCGTGGGGGGCCTTGGCGTCGGGTCTGCGGGAGTAATATCGTCATAGGAGATGATGGGGCGCATTTTGGTATGAGAAGATGTGCGGTGGCGGTTGGTCGTAGCCTTAGACCTCAGAGTCGATGGTCGACGAGTGCCATAGACTCAGAGGTCGCGGTCAAGGACGTGCTTGCCGCGCGTTCAAGTCGCGTGGTCGAGGCGCCTACGAAGTGTCCCACGACTTCTCTTTCAGGTACCTCACTGTGATCCCAAAAGTAGGACGTATTGATACATGACTGGAGTACATATGCAAAGACGTCTACAGGTGTGTTGTGCGTCTACCCGACCCTACTCTGCGGAGTCGTAAAATCTAAGTATGAGTCCAGGGATCCCAGTGAGAGGGAGCTCGTTTCACCCATTTTGCGGCGCACTACGCTTTCTTGGCTTCATTCACCCGTCCGCCTTCCATCTCGATCATCGTCATGCTAGTGTTCCTCCTGGAGAGAGTCCGATACCGCGCCTTGAACCAGTCAAGCTTGTTCTCCAGGCCGAGCTCCTGGCCCTCCCCGTCGATGCTCCTCCCCCTGGTCTCCGGCAACCACAGCGCGAAGATGGCGACGGCGACCCAGATCCACCCGGCCCACATCCAATACGGCCCACTCGGCGACGCGTTCAGGAAGATCGGCGTCGAGAACGCGATCACGAAGTTGCAGATCTAGTTCGTCGTCAGCGCCAGGGACGACACCGACGCGCGCGTCTTGACCGGCTGCGACTCGGAGACCCAGACGCGGATGAGGATCGCCCAGGTGAGGATGAAGGCGATGAAGTAGACGTAGATGAGCGCGATGACGGCCCACTTGCCAGCCGCGGACAGGTTCGGCTGCGAGTAGAGCGCGCCCATGACGGTCATCGCCGTCGCCATCACCATTCCACCAAAGATGAGCGCGGGACGACGTCCCCTGCGAAGGAATGAGTACACGGCTTTGGACTGAGCTGTATTTCGTGTGCTCACCACTTGTCAGAAATCACGAACTGCCCTATGACAGTGAAGACAAAGTTGACAACTCCGGTGATGCCACTCGCGAGGAATGTTGCGCTCTTGGACGAAAGCCCGGCCTGCCTGAAGAGCGTGGGCGCGTAGAACAGGACGCCGTCGATCCCACTCAGCTGCTGAACGCCGGACATGAAGAGCGCGAGTAGCATCCGGCCGCGGACGTCCGGCGCGAACGACGCCTTCATCCGCTCGAGGCTCTTCCGCGAACCCTTCGACGCGTTCGCGTCCTCTTCCACAGCATCCTCCTCCTCAGGTTCGTGGAACGGCACCTCGGTCTCATCGAGCCCCAGGCGCTTCAACGCCGCGCGCGCCTCCGTGAACCGCTTCTCGTGCACAAGCCAGCGCGGAGAGTGCGGGACGAACGGCAGCGCGGCAGCGAGCGCGAAGCAGACCACGGTCTGGAGGATCCATGGCGTGCGCCACGCGAGCGACCCCGCGATGGACGAGGAGCCGAAGCAGGTGAAGTACCCGAGCATGATTCCGAGGGTGATCTGGACCTGGAGAATGGATCCGATGCGCCCGCGCAACCGTGCGGGCGCGACCTCGATCCCGTAAACGGAGACAGCGCTCAGGAAGACGCCCTCGCCAGCCCCGGAAATGACTCGACCCATGAAGACTTGCGCGAGCGCAGCCTTGGAGGACGAGTGGCTGAGCCCAGCGGTGAGTGCGATGAGAGATCCCGCACCGTAGATGACACAGCCCAGGGCGGTGGCGTAGGTTCGGGAGAGGCGGTCGGCGATTGACCCTGCCCCAGAGGAAACAATGGCGGCGGGGATGAGGATGATGGAAACGAGCAAGCCTTCGATACGGGAGTTCAAGTGACCGACGACGTCGATGAACTGGTCCATCACGGTGATAGAGCCAATTGAACCGGTGTCAAAGCTAGTTTGGAGGAAAAAGAACGGATGTTAGAATTCATGGAAGGGAGGATTGAGTAGTACTACTACTGACCCGAAGATGAAGCCGCCGAAGGAGACAATGATCACATAGTAAACGTACGGAGGGATGCGTAGGGCTTGTGCCAAACTCCGGAGGTTCGTCATGTTGCAGCGAGCAGAGAGTCTTAATCACGAAACGTACCGTGAGGACAAGGAGGACGGCGGGGGAAAAGTATTTGTTGTGCTGACCAAAGACAATCCTCGGA